GTCAACGGACCTCTTTATCAATATGCAGACGGTACTTCATCAATTACCAAAGGAAATACCAAGACTGGAAATAAATTCAAAGTTCTAGACACACTTTACTAAATTTCTGATTGGCTCTCTAAAATCAGAAAGCAAAATTAATTTAAAAAATCTTAAATTTTCCAATTATTATTAACAGAATATATCTATTTAGGGATTTCTCATGCCAAAAGGTGACAAAGTCTGCATAAACTCCAACAGTTTGGGCTTTACTTTACTAAATAATTTAAAATGGCAAGAATTAACCTCTGTTCCGCAGTTAAAACTTTGTAAAACTCTTTTGCCATTAGAACTATTTCAATAATTATCAGGAAGATACAGGTCTTCAAGTTTATCATGGATATTTCCATCAATCATCAGGTACATAAAGTATGATTCTCTAAAGGGAGAAAGGGGTGTACATCAGAAATAAATAACATATTTACTTTTCAAAAAACAAGCCATTTAATCAATGTTTAAATTAAAATACAATACAGGGAAATAATCAAGCACTCTTTTTTTCAATATCCTCCACATTTCTCCCTCTTGCACTGGTCAAAATATTTTCCTTAGAGCTTTATTTTCAAAAACCAACTATGAGTCGGTTTTAGATTTTATTGGGCTAACCCATGTTTTTCTTCCATAAAATTGGTTGAATCATTGTCTTATATAAAATTATATTTTTTTATGTGGGGTAATACTTTAGAGTGTGCCATTCAGCCCCTTATTTCTTTGCAACACCTCTAACACATCTTGTATGGAAATGTAATGACACAGTACATATATTGTATAAAGTGAATAAAAACCTAGCAAATGATAATTCTAAGGGAAGTTGATCTAAAAGTCTAACAAGTAGATTCTAGGTTTTATTCATTCTCCATCCATTGTTCTCCCTTTGTTGACCAAAGACTTTGTATTGATCAGACTTGATAGTTCGATAACGCTATCAGTGGACTCTTCCTGTTGTGAACATGCTGAAGAGGACATTTATCAAGCAATTATATATTCTCATCACCCATTATAAAGGTCAACCACCCACATTCATATAATCACCTTGAAATATTTATTGTACAGCCCCCAAGTGTATGTTGCTGTCTTAAAGGATTAATTTATTGATTGATTGTAGATATAATGTCTCATAGGGGAAAAGGGAAAAGCTTAAGCCTATGTCCCACGACGCGTCATGCATGGGACAGGGTACGCCCATGGTGATAGGCGCGGAGCAGGGTTGCGCGTCCGTTCCCGTAAAATGCGGACCATGGGAACGGGGTTTAATGGGGTAAAATGGGCTTTTCTAATTTTTTACCCTTTAAACACAGAATTTATTAATTTTTCTCCAGACCTATAAATAATTTAGTATATCAAAGTGTTTTTGTATGGTTATGGTTACGGAGAAAATTTAAAAAACCGTTAATTTTAAAATCCTATGTTATTCTTAGGCCGGGCGCGCACTATCCCGACCACGACCACGGCCACGACCAAACGCCCGACCAGTGGTTGTCATTCACCATGCGACCAGAGCACGACCCGACCAATGTTTTACAAACTTCAGTGTCAAGATGATTGTTGAAGAAGTAGTTGTTATGGTGCATTTGTATTGTAAGTACGTTAAGCGGAAGAAGACACTATACTGGGTATAGAGTGAAAATTTAAAAAACGTACGTTTTCAGAAAAAGTACTTTGCAAAATTTTTTCCCCTTTTTTCAAAACTTTTATTATTATTTTTATTTCAGTAACATTTGAAGTTTCATAAAATGCCCATGGTAACGCAATATCTTTGGTATTTTTTTTTTTAAAAGAGCATCTTTAGTGGAAAAACACAAAATCCTGTCACGACCATAACAGACGTTTAAATGAATATTAAAAATAGTTAATATTATTTTTATAACTATGTTTTGCTATAAACTAATTTACTTTTATGACCATTATACAATAAAAAGGTCACTGAGCTTTTGGTATATTTGGTCTTTCTAGAAAAAAATAAAAAAACTCAAAAAATTGAAAAAAAGCCAATAAAATCATTTTAAGTTTGTATAACTCCGAAAAAACTTACCTGAGACCCGAAAAATCGTTATGTTTGTATAGAGGTGTGCTTCTTTTGTGTATAAAACATTGAAATATGACGATATTTTAATTTTTGAAATTTTTATGATAGAAATCATAAACGTGATGGTCAGGGACAAGCGGTACGGTCGTGAATTTTCTGAAATAATCTAAAACTTTCTAAACAATCCTTTAATTATACTGTTAGTTATAATAAAAATAAGTGTTTCAATTGAACTAAACTGTTCAAATTACAATTATATTAAAGTTATTGTCACGACCAAACACACTATAATCCATAAGGCTGGATTGGTCGTGAAAAAACCCGCGATGGTCGTGAAACTTTGGTCGTGAAATTACGTGTTATTTGGCTCTGTTCTGGCGGTAGCCCTGCACCTCATGTTCGAGGATACAAAGTGGACTTCTAGGTTAATCTAGCAATTGAAATATCTTATAAACAAAAATTAACACCATGTCTTCTTCATCGAATGACTACGTACGGTCATGGACACACCAAAATTACAAAAAACACAATCTTTCCTTTATTAATCTTGTAATTCCTCCTTTCAACAACGACCGGCACTACAATCCTGACGTACACCCCGAACTAGTCTCTAAAACCAACTGACTCCATCGACGCCAGGCTTGCCACTGTCGTGCTCCAAAGTTGAAAATTTTTCCCAAATGGTCGTGACGCCAAATCGAGGGACAGACTTATTTTGTCATGGTAGTCAGTTTGCAATGACAATAAAATTATAATATGCTCCTTTTTTGTAAGTTTAATAACCATTGATGGCATAAAAATATGGCTTTATATATTTCGGCATGAGTAATTAGTCTAAAAAAGCGTGAAAGTTGGAAAATGTACCCAAGGGACACGTCATGGTCGTGAATTTTGAGACTTTAAAAATACGAAAAAAATACCTAGAACCTATTTAAAACCAAATAAATGTGTGTAACATGTTGCCCCCGTCCCAAAAAATATTAAAACCCATAGTAATAAACTACAAATCCAGTATCTACGAAGTAAAAGGCCAGGGACATGAAAACGTACGTTTTTAAATTTTCACTCTATATCCAATGTTAACTGTTAGGTCTGAAAGGGCATTTTGCAACATTTTATGAAGAGCTACGTCAATATGAAGACAGGTTTCAAAAGTGTCAAAATCCTGCGACATTTTACCAAATGAGTCACTTCACAGACTGGCGCAAAAAACTAGTGCTCACCGTTTGATTAGTCTAGGAATACTGGGGGTTGAGTGGTGTACTGGTCGGGCCGGAGGCAAGTCGGGGGTAGTGCGCGTCGTCCCATTACATTGTGTGCTATTTTTGGCTGCTACGACCAGCGGGTCGGGCCCGACCAAACTGGAAAATTTTGGTCGTGCGACCAGGGCCCGACCAGGGTCCGACCAGTCGACCAGTGCGCGCTGTTCCATTTATTCCTATTATAAAACTGGTCGTATCCGACCAGTCGGAGTCGTGGTCGTGGTCGTGGTCGGGATAGTGCGCGCCGGCCCTTATGGAGAATATTGTAAAATCTTGTAGTTGGCTTGTTTATGGATGTATTTTGATCAAACTTGGCAAATTTATTTATTTTATACTAAGCTATTAATATTTTAATAAAAATCACATTTATTAACTTTCCTGTAGCAGCAAACCTAGGTAGGCTACTCGTAAAACAGAAAACAAATGATAACTTAATTTAATATTTTCATTGAAAATCAATGCAGGCAAATGGAAATTCACTTAGTCAGCTGGTTTGCTGCAGCGTGGGTATTTTATATTCCGATAAATAGCTACATTGCTAAACAATTATTGTATATTCTAAAATATTATTTCATATAGGTTAAATTTATATGCGTAGCCTAATTATTTCTTAAGATTTTTAAAAATATCACGTTGATATTCAAAAATACAGTATCACAACTGTCGTAAAACTGCTTTTATGATTTTTTATCGAGCCACCTTTTTTATAGTTACTATTTATATAGTATCACTTTTATTGTTATGTCCCTATAGCCATATTGGTTGACACACTGCACTGATAGCTCAGTGGGTTGACAGCACTGAGCTATAATTTTAGCTCGGTGGTTGACAGCCTGATGGGATCTAAATATTGTCGTTCGTCTTTGGTTTGGGGAAGGGATAATAACACTGAGCTAGTGATGCGATAATCGAGTGAAAAAAAGAATCGATTCTTTCGATTCAATTATTTTAAGAATCGATGAAATAATCGTTTGCGTGAATCGATTCTTATTTGTTAGCTTCCTGCACTTGATTCCATTTCGCTGCAGGTCGATGCATGCCTATGATATTTATCACTACTACTACTAGCATTGACTATCATAGTCAAATGCTACTAGTCAAAAGTCAGTCTATCTCAGTGGCTAGGTACACACACTCACGCACTGATTTGTTGGTTAGGTGCTTAAAAGATTTTAGAAAATATAATATTGTGAAAGTTATTATATTTATTTTTTAAATCACGAACTGTGTTAAGTGAACTTTCATATTTTCAGTTATGAATAATAATTGAACTATTTCTTAACTTTGAACTATTTGAAATTATGTAAGTTTGTATTATAAAAACATCAATGTGTATTTACAACTAAGAAGTAACTCATTGGAAATATAATTATATTTCTACTTTTTATATGTACTGACAACTATTATATTTTATGAAACTTTTGTCTATTTTTTATTATAGTTGTATCCGCCCAATTTTATATTAAGCCCAGTAATTTTTATAATTGCTAAAATATCGTAAGATGGAGAAATGCAGACTATTTCAAAGACTCGATTCATAAGCACAAGAATCGATTAATCGATCCTCGTTAAAGAATCGATTCATCGATTCTTTTGAAATCGATTCTCCCATCGGATAATAATGATAGTGTATCAATATTTTTGATTTCTCTTTCTCTGGTCTCTGGCGATCTGAAATCTACCACGGTTTCATGCTTGCCCGCCCTTGCCTTCCCTTCCCTTTCAAGAAGTTCCAGTTCCCGTTCCCAGTTCAGTTCCCAGTTCCAGACGAGAGACGCAGACCCGCAGACGAGTAGCAGTAGAGTTGGTTGGAGTTTCGTTGGAGTTGGAGTGCTGTTGCTGGTTGCTGTTTTAAGAGCAAAGTGCCGGCCGAAGGGTCGATTTCAATCCTTCATCTTTATTAATTCAAGTTAAATTTTTGTGTTATAAACAACTATTTCTCCTGATCGTTTAGTTATTCCTATAACTTCCTTTTATTGAAGTCTGTATTCTTTAGTTCTTAAAAACTCAGTTATTTAGTAACCTAACCTACAAACGTAAGTGTCATCATGACGAAGTATCACAAGCCAGAAGCAAAAGTGATTCAAGAAATCAAGGATATTGCCCACAAACTTAGGATTGACTCAATTGTCGCAACCAACTGCTCTAAATCTGGGTAAGTTTCCAAGTTATTATATTATTTTAATCAATACACGGATATGTAGGCCTATTAACTTAAACCTAAGTGTGATGTAGGTTAGATTTTGGCTAATTTAGCCTAGATGTCATTTCTCTAGTAAGCCTAAAATGCTGTCTTTATAAAAACTTGATTAGATTATATTCAACCAATGTCATTACAGTAAGTTAACACCTGTGTTTAAAACGTCTACACAACAACAAAACATGGACATATGTCCAACACATGAAAAAATCTCACCAATAAACCACATTACAATATCAAACATAGAAGAACATTCGTACACACACAAACGCCAGCTCACTTTGTGAAAACATAGCGAAATCCCGTCCAGATAGAAGAACCATGGCGATTCCCCTATCTATGGATTTTGGTGAAGACATCGAAGGTAAAAGGTTTATTATGAGCAAAGAACCAAGATGATTGATTGGGACTAATCATTCTAAATAGGTATATGTACGAAGCCCGCTAATATTGAGTATGATATAAAATTATGAGATCGGAAGTGTCTAGGCAATTAGGCCTAGGCCTAAGTTAAGTTATTATTTTATCAGCTCACTAGGTAAGTTAATCTCTATTAATTAAGTTTTAATTTATAAAATGTATTTATTTTTAAATCACATTCCATACTTTGGTAATCCACAGAGCTGACACCTAAAAAATTAACATATTGGACATGTTATTTGTAATGTCTAGCCTGACTGTAGCCATGCTATATCCCTCGGAGTGTCCCTTGTTTTGGCCTTAATGTCTGCCTATTTTTTGCTCATTTGCAAGGTTTCATTGAAACGGATCTGAGAGGCTTGAAAACAATGTTAATTATACTGTTCTATAGGCCTATGCCATTTTGTTTGGAAAATCATGGGCTTCAATATTATATACATAAAACATAAGGAACATTTGTTTCAAAAAAATTTTTTAGGTAAGAAAAAATATTTTGGAAAAAAAAAAAAATAAGTTTGCGCTCAATGAAATTGTATAAATTATAGGCCTATAAATATTTGTTCTAAATTTTATGAGGATTACAAATATATAATAATATAAGGAAGTAGATATGCAAATAAATAAGTTATGGGCAAAAAACAGATTTCAGTACATAGCGTTTAGCTAAGAATGCATAGCCTAACCATAGCTAGGTATCTGGCTGATAATTTACATCAATATCACTACCTAGGCTACTTCTTCAGGATCATCAACCAGCCCTTCAAAATCACTTAAATCTTCTTATAATGCACCACGTATATCACTACTTTTGATTTTGAAAACTAAAACAATGATAAACGTAATAAAACACATCAGGCATCGGTCCGAGGTTAACGAAGCTGTTTACAAATACGCACGTCAGCTGTCTGCTACAATATTTTCGGAACTAAAATGAAAAGCGCTTAGAGACAGACCTCCAGAGAAAGCTCTGAATCTGTACGACAAAACGATACCTAACTCGATCCAGTTCAATCCGATTTTGTCAGTCATAGAGCCTTCGCCGTAAACAGTGTTTGTGAGTCGCTGCAGCGACACAAAACACTACACAAAGTGTGTTATGTGTCGCTGCAGCGACAAATAACACTCGGGAGGGATATACATGACAATTGTCAATGCATTTTTTGTAATGTCCAATGACAAATAGATATTTCTGATTCTGTTGAATTTGCCTAGCCTTTCCCTATTAAAATGGTTTAGTGTTCAGTTTATTTTTGACTTTTTCTCAGTGTCCTTTGCAATTAGCTTAGCCTACATGACGACTCGGAAAAATAAAAATCCTTTTAGGCCTAATTTGTTTTGTAAGCTTTGAAGATAGGATGTCATTGTCCATTGTGTCATGCCGTCAAAAATTGTGATGAAAAATTTGATTCTTAAACTTTGCACAGACACATTATCGGTTCACAGTTTTGATACACAGCACACGTGGAAACCCCCTAGGCCTTCTCACAACATGTGTTCACAGCGATGTGTAAACATGCTTCGGTCCAAATGTCCAACTAAGCTCTTAAAAATATATACCTATTTATCTATTTATCATACGGTAAACACCATTTTTACAATAGATAATGCATGAGGGCAAGTTACAATAAAAAATTTATAAATATATATAGTCGAATTCAGATACATCTTGCTGACAAAAAAAAAAGATTGCTTACATGAAAAATTACACCAACAGGATTGTACCAAAAATGCTAACAAAGATTGGACTAGTTAACAAGCATCACTATCAATGACATGTTTTAATTTAGGTAGGCCTCTAGCTATCAACTTTTTAAACAAAATAACAATGATTCATATAACTTAAACTTACCAGGTGTCCTTCAAAGTGATTGTTTTAGATTTAATACATTTATTACCAAGCTCATAGAAAACACCGCAAAATTGACAGCTGCACCAAACACACCTAATATAAAAATATCACCTAGTAGGCTACTACTAGATATGAACATGTTTAGTAATATAGCCTAATAATATTTTATTTAATGTAATTTGACAATACTTATTCCATGTACAACTTGGTCAATGGCAATAAACTTTCTTATTCTTATTCTTACTTGGTTCCACCCAATCTAGATAAAATAGCCTAGTGGCACATTGAAATAATGATGCATTTTGTCCCTCAAGGATGGAAAAAACAGCTGTTCGTAGGCTATTGTAAAAAAGTGGGCTAGGTAGTTTTACTCGAGAATTTTTTGCTATTTTTGTTGCTTACCGTACCATTCTCTTCCTATTTACCAGAATCATATATGAGACTTAGGAGTAGGCTACTTTTTTCATTTGTATTTCTTGCAGCTGTGGAGTTTCAAGTTTCTGGCGTTGGTAATACGTGTGGTATAGGCCTATCAATTTATAATAGCGACCTCTTCGTGTTACAATATACATATGAAATGTTTAAAATATTTTAAATTAAATCTTAGTGACACCCTATTGGTGTAGAAATGAGTGGCCTATCTAAATATATATCAGTGTATTGTATCTATTTGTAGTGATTGGCTTTATATGTTATTAGGCCTAAATTAAAAATATTTTGTTCAAAACAGGGGATGATAACAGGGTATAACACAATCAAATGTTATAAAACAGAATAATAAAATAGTTACTGTAGGGTAGGGCCTAACCAGATATTTTTAATAGTCTAGCGCCCATCAAGTTAATCTTCCCAAACTGAGACTCACTAAAACCCTGAAGTCCTTGTACGCCTACAAAGTTTGTTACCGTATGTCTCTTGCTTGATGTAAATATTTTTTTTATTAGCTCACTTTCTCAGTAAGATGGTGCAAGAATTGCTAAACTCATTGTCAACTTAAATTTTTGGACTGATTGGGTTTTCTAGTTCACCGGTTCCCAAACTATGGGTCGCGACCCACTGGTGAGTCACGGGAGCAATTTTGGTGGGTCGAGGTGGAAAGAGTCCAGACATAAAAAAGTTAGCCTAGCCTTTAGCAAAATAATACAGAGCGGGTAGCATGTAAGGGTTTGCGTTAAAACTTGAATAAGTCAGTTAACCATGAACACTAGAGTGATGAAACAAAAAGCATTTTAATCAGGAAGAAACAGCCTAAATATTATGTCCAGTACATATTTATTGAAATGTGTATCAAAAACAGTTTTCAACCCATCTCAACATTTCATAAGAAAGCGGAAAAATTTTAACTTTTGAAGGTGTATTACCGTTGGAACGAATAAAATCTCAGACTTGATTTTTGTTGTGTGTGTAGCAACTCAGTAGAACTGTTTGTATTTCAAATATCAACCCTGAGACTTAATTCCTTTAAAAGTTATCATTTTTCCTTTTCATTTAGTAATTTACTATGTTTCTTAGTTTAAGGTACCTACATGATGACATTAATAAATTTTCAATATAATACATTAATAATTATGGGCCTAACCTATTATTAGGCCTATTATTATTATTATTATTGAATAGGAGCGTTGCGAAAAACAAATCCAAGGTGATGGTGGGCCCGCCATCGAATAAAAGTTTGAGAACTACTTCTAGTTAGCTCTAAAATATCATTACAGGTCAATTTATTACATGGTAGGCTATTTCACATTATAGCCTATTTCACATTATAGCCTGTATGCCAAGAGTTTTCTTTAGCAACGTGTACTTAATTTAACTTTTTTGACCCCATGAATTATAGACCCTATACAATACATACAATTTAACTTGTTTTAATTGTATACTTTTGTAAATGTAACCTAATACCGTAGTTCTATTAATTATTGTCATATTAATTTGATAGTCGTTTGGATTTCATTTGGGCATTCAACATTTTGTCAAAGGTTGCTAACCATTGAGGTAACTTAATCTAGCAACGATCCAAAATACTATGTTGTGCACACAAATCGATTGTTTGATTAGCATTTCTTCAACAAAGGTCTCCATTAGTTTGATCAATATTTTTCAATCAATCAGCGTCAACAAGATACCTGAACACCAATACTTATTTGTTACTCTTTTATGGAACGAGAAAACAATACGCTGGTAGGTAAAATTTTTTAACATCAGTGCAATTGAGTGTCAGGCGAGTCCTCATCATGTCAGACAGGATCTCATAACCCTTCTTCTCTGGGTCAGTTTAACAGTTACAAGTTAGGCTAGCAACCAGAGCTAGCAATCAACTGGTATAGAATTCCCTTCTCATCATACATTAATTACAGAAAAAAGGTATAACAATTAACCTGTTTGTACGTTAATTTGAAGGAGTTCGCGAACCAACATGATCATACTATGTGAATAGGGGTTTTTAGGGTTTTTAAATTTAGCAATGGAGAGTAATTAAACTGAAGGTTGTAGTTTGCTTGTCTATGGATATATTTTGATTGAATTTGGCAAATTGGCTTATTTCATACTAAGCTATCAATATTTCAATAGAAAACACTAATTTCTACCTTCCCTGTAGGAAATCTAAGCATTCTTTAAAATTTAGTTTTTTACTAGATAATAATCTCACAATTTTTAGGGAATATTTTACAGCTCGTGACACCTAAGC